AGCACAGAAACAGTACTATTTAACATTTTAGACACATTCTAGACAGTTTATCAGCTAAAAAAAGTTAATTTTGGGGTAAGTTACTCTTTAAGGAAGAATCCTTAGTGGGTACCTGAGCTCAGGGTTTGGGACTTGTTTATCTAGGAAGAGCTCAAAGCTGCTCGTCTATACTGGAAGGAGGTGACTCAGGAGGTTCAATCTCAGCTGAGCTAYTCGCACCACCTGAGACCTTCCAGAACAAGATGGAGAAGTGGTTCTCCCCTAAACTTGTTACCTCTGCTAACTAATTTGCACAACCAGGAAAAATATAGATGCAAGAATATAAAAGGAAATATTTTTAATTTACACTTGTAAGGCAAAAGCAGGGAAAAAAACAAGAATTTAAGTAAGTCGGTTTGTTCAATCAAGGTTGCCATTTGGAAAAAAAAAGACYCATGTGGTTTCTGGTTTTGCATTTTCCTTTTTGTAAGTTAGCAAGGGTGAGGGGTAAATTCTCACCTTTCATCAGAAAGCGGCCAGTATGGTGTTTATTTTAGCCATCATCGTGGTTGAGTATGATTCTTTTTTTTTTTTTTTTTTGCTTTACTGAGGTGCAAAAAACCAAACGAGCTTTCAGTTTTACTCACTTCTTCCTTTTTGGTTCGCACCTGTTGTGCCTAAAGCTTTCACTAATACTTTTTTTTTAATTTCAGCAGATCTGCTTTGTGGAAAGAAGACCCTCCACAAAAATCCTCTTTCACTTCTATGTTCTGTTCCCCAAATCCATCAGTCCATTTCACTGCATCTGCCATACTGCATGCCCAGCTGACTAATTACTAGGTAAATGTTCCACCAGAATTCAAACAATGAAGTACCACCTGAGCATACCAATGATGGCCACACCTTCCTAWATATGTAGCCATAAACTTTCAATATGATTTCCTCTCTCTGTTTAAAACTGTGCAGTTTTATTCTCTTTGTTGGCCACCAAAACAGGCCGCGCACATACCCACCAAAAGTTTTACTAATGCTGAAAGTGAAATAAACTGTCTGGTTCAGTAATATGCTGCTTAAAAACTTTGTTTTGATATATATTTTTAAAGATGTAATTTCGTAATCAAATTTCAACCAGATAGGAAGGGGATTCTCAATGGAACTGGGTGGATACGATTGTTTGTATGAAACAAACCTTAACTTTTTTTTTACTTTATTCAACATGCATCAACTTACAGCATACTTTTCCAGATGCATTTATAAAAGCCCACCAAAGAAAATTCAGCTTGAACTGGCATGAGTGGGTTAGACAGCAAAACGGAAAAAAAAAAAAAAAAACAAGGTTGGCCTTTCTGTTTAAAGGATGTCAGATTAGTTATATTTTCTTTAACGAATAAACTTGAAATTTTAACRTTTAAGGCTTGTTGTGGAACCCAAACTTGAAAGTGTCTGAAACTTTTAAGTTCAATACATTTTTTTACATTTTATGTGAGCGTGATGGAAAGTGTTGATAATCTATGCATATGAGTAAATAGGAATGTTTATTCTTGTGTTTGTTTCAATGTGGGCAGGCTTGTGGTAAACAGACCGATGTGCATCTATAGGCTGGGTGAGGTGAGCTCATTATTTCCTCTCCCCACCATGTGGCCACAGCGACTATCCTCCATGGTGACAATACATATGGGTGGAGAGAAAGAGAGGGGGCTTGTTTTGTTATAAAAGCCGAGATCAAAACCTAACTTTTCAGAAAGACAGATGTTCACAGCTTGAAAAACGCAGGCAGGTCCACTGTTTGAACAAGACTTGTTTGATTCTTTGCTCTGTATGCAATCAAGAGGAAGATATTTTTTAGAGTGATACAGATCCGATGCTAAACGACAAGGTGTAATTCTGACAATGAAGGCTGGTCGGACTGTAGCTACTCTTCTCTGTTTCACCCCATGGATTAGCTTGATCCAAGCAAGTAAGTACCAAAGAATCTGATGGAACCTATGACCTGAATGTATCAAAATAAAAAAAAGAAAAACTTACTTACATTTTTTTCTTCGTTTTTTTAGTCACTGCACCGGTGCAAGACTGTCGCTGTGTTGGAGTGTCCAATACTCAAATCCCTTTTACTGAAATTAAGAATTACAGCATTCAAAACGACAAAAAATGTTCCGTCAACGCAGTAGTGTAAGTATTCTCATGGTTCCATGTTACTGTCAGCCATATTTAAATAAATTATCTACATGTACTATAAATATTTTTCATTTAACCAATTGGATCAAAAATATACAATAAATATCACATTTCTATATGGAGCTTAGATGTTGTACTAATTGGACAATTTACAGTGTAAGATGTTGAGAAAAGCAAAAGAAAATAATTTTTTTTAATTTGGTCACATATTCAATAAAGTACAAACAACACAATTAAAGGTGTTTTACAATTATTTTAACATCTCACAATCTGTTACAGGTTTACGAGAGTGAATAAGAAGATAATTTGCTCTGACCCCAACAGCAGATGGGCAAAGTCAGTCATTCAGAGGCTGAAGTCAAAACCAAAACCAAACAGGCAGTCAACAATAAAACCAAAGGTGTTCTTACCAACAGAACCAAACCTGAACCCAACAACAAAACCAAACCTGAACATAACAGAACCAAACCTGAACCCAACAACAAGATTAAGCCTGGACACAACAAAACCAAACCTAGACCTAACGACCGAACCAAACCTGAACCCAACAACAAAACCAGACCTGAACATAACAACAGAACCAAACCTGAACCCAACAACAAGATTAAGCCTGGACACAATGACAAAACCAAACCTAGACTCAACGACAAAACCAGACCAGGATCCAACAACAAAATCAAACCTGGACCCAACAACAGAACCAAATCTGAAACCAATGTCAGAACCAACCTTGAAATTAATGACAGAACCAAACCAGGACCCAACAATGGAACCAAACCTGGACCCAATGATAGAACCAAACCACGATCCAACAACGGAACCAAACCTGGACCCAATGACAGAACCAAGCCTGGACCCAACAACAGAACCAAACCTGGACCCAACAACAGAACCAAACGAGGACCCAACGTCAGAACCAACCTTGAACTTAATGACAGAACCAAACCAGAACCCAACAACAGAACCAAACCTGGACCCAACAACAGAACCAAACCTGGACCCAACAACAGAATCAAACCTGGACCCAAAAACAGAACCAAACCTGGACCCAAAAACAGAATCAAACCTGGACCCAGCTTCAGAACCAACCTTGAACTTAATGACAGAACCAAACCAGGACCCAACAACAGAACCAAACCTGGACCCAGTGACAGAACCAAGCCTGGACTCAACAACAAAACCTAGACTGAACTTAACAAATTTCAAATGTGAAAATAAATCAACAGAAGAAAGATCTGCTGACATCAAACCAGCAGCATCCACATTAACAAGAATTCCTTCCGTACGAAGAAAAAGAACTACAAGGAGAAAACAAAAGAAGAAGAAAATAATGTTGAAAGAATGGCTGAGAAATCGGGGCTGGAAGAACATAAAACCATTTAAATGTGACCACTGTAACCTGATTTTACTTGGTTTAGTCTGACATTTAAAACTTTAAAGCTTTAGTTCAAGTTTTGATCCATCAGAATTACCAAGATGAGGCTGCAGAATGTAAATCTGATCATTTAACTTTTGTTAGTATGGTTATTTCTTCGCAATGATGTCCTCACCTCCAGGTACCAAATTACTGCTTTAACATAGCAAAACATCCCATTCCTGAAACAAAAAAAGCATATACCGGTATGTTTGCAATATGAATTGATGTTTAAATTAATGATGCTTTGTTTTTTAAAATGTGTGATACTGCAATGTACATATTTAATTTACTCAATTTACCAATAAATTACTTTTGAGCAAATGATGTGTCTTGTTTGCAATGAACRCATTAGAATAATCTAAACCAGATTCTTTAGTTGATATTTGTTTAGCCGTCATGTGTTGTTTTTTCTTCCTTTTTTTTCCCAGATCAGACCACATTGCGCAACAAGCAAATGCAAATGCCAATTGCACAGGAAGGAAACCAACACAGTCTTACCAGTGATAAGGGGGCAGTGATTATTGTAGAGATAAATGAAAACATTACAAATGCAGCTTTTGTGCAGTGAACGAGTGAGGGAGTAAAATGCAACAAGACAAGTGAAGATAACATCAAGTGGACAAAAAAACCCAACCCCCCTCTCCCCTCTCAATATCATATCTAACTACAAATGCAAATTGCCAAATACATGTTCCAAAACAGTGTAGAGGTGCATGCAAAACCTTGTAAAGTGCTTTGCAGAGCTGGGATGAGGTTAAAAAGCTGTTACATAAATGTGGACCATTCACCATCTGAACAATGACACTATGACGTCACAGTAACAGCCCACCAAATAGACATTGTTGCTTTTTTCAGGTACCCTCAGCTATTTCGCAACATTTGTTAATTTTTGCCGTATGACTATTCTTGCATTTTATAGAAAAATGTTGCTGCTATGTTGCTAAAATACTGTATCAGATCTTACTGAATATTTAAAATCTACAGTGGTAACACTCAATCTGTTGCAGGAAGGTTGCTTTGATATTATTTTCACAACTTTGTATGTGGCAGGTGTATTACCTGTCAAAGCAACTTACCTAACGAATATCCAGAGTGGCTAACAATGTTGTGATGTATCCAGAACTTTATGGCAGTGCTGTGACACAATGCCATTCTTTACATTCATCCATCTGCAGCACAGCTGCTCAGTGGTTAACGCTGTTGCCTCACAGCAGGAAGATCCTGGGTTTGAACCCCAGTTTTAGCCTAGGGCCTTTCTGTGTGGAGTTTGCATGTTCTCTTCATGTTTGCGTGGGTTTTCTCTGGGTACCACGGTTTCCGCTGCCCTTTTAAAACATATCAGTAAAAAAAAAAAAAAGTTAAATCTATTCATTTTTCTTTATTTACGGAATTGTGTTTAAGGTCATAGAGAGCTGGCGTCTACTTACAGTGGTCAACAGGTGAGAGAGCAACACATGGGAGGTGGGTACAACCTGCATAAGCTTCCAGAGACACATGCCCACAGTTTTGCCAGAACCCAATTCAGAACCATCAGTTGAGCTCACAGGTACTGCATGTTTTTGGACTGAGAGGAAACCAGAGGGCTTGAAAATAAACCACATGTGCAGCTCTGCACAGAAACGGCTTCAGCCCAGAGTTAAACCCCTCCTGCTGTGAAGAGACAGTGCTAACCAGCTAGCCAACGGTGCACGCCACATTTCAAGTATTGGTACTTTTCCTAATCGTATGGGTTTTAAATTTCAAATAATTTGCATTTCATTTCTTTGTCTTTTTACATTTCATTTAAATGTATAAGTTGCTTTAATGTTTGGTTGTTTTTGATACCAATTGTTCATAAGAGTTTCACAGCAATGCTTCACACGGTTACCCATATAACACRGCAGCTCTGTGGTTAGTGATGTCACCTCTCAGTAAACATACAGTCAACTTAAATCTCTGCTAAGAAGATTTTTCTGTAGCAATGTTTTCATGGTGTACAATGTCACATCTGATTCAGTCACTGAATTACCTCTGAATTACTGAATTACTACAGCATTTGGCAGGGCAGGAAGAGTGATAACCTCAGAACCACCTCCCATTTTAACTTGACCCACATACTAAGAAAATACCCTTCACAGTATTTGTTTATATGAGCAGCTAACAGAATACTAGAGACAGCCAGCAAACAATATGTCAGCTCAGCTAACTGGATGACACACTCAGTAAAACTGTTCCGCTCATAAAGCAGAAAGCAATTATCTGAGCCAGTAAATACAAATTGCAGTCATCTAGCTGCCTCACAACTCATAACACTGCAGAGCTAACAACGTTCATGTTAGTTATGTAGTGCTGCAGTTTTATATTCTTAGATTTTACAGAAACGTAGGTCATTACGTGACAGATTTACGTTTTAGGGGGATTTATCAGCTTAGTTTCATAGTAGAAGTCTTTTGCTCCAAGAAATGTCAGTTTTGCAAAACATAGCTTTTGAACAGGGTTTGGGGTTGCAAGAAAAAAGGCTCTCCTACACAGAGTAAAAAAAGGTAAGTGTCTTTATATACAGAAGGAATTGGCTCTTAGTATACTATATTGTTTCTTTCAAGCTCAGGAGAGGTTGGAGAACGACTGGTGGGGGATTCCAGGAGATAAACACAATGAAGAGTGACAGGTGGGACCAGAGATGCTTGCAGAAGCCAATAAAGTTCAATCATTTGTTGGAGTGTTAGGAATGGTGAAGTTGTTCTAGGTTGCATGCAGGAGGACACAGAACAGAAGACAAACAGACATGAGACTCAGGAGGTAATTCTCACAACACTCTGGGAAAATAGAAAAAAAAAAAGAGTTTCACTATTTATGTTCACCAAGAAACTGAGATGAAAATAATCACTCAGGGGCTGTAGGCTGAAAATCACCAAGGCAATCCAACTAAAATGCTGTCTCAGCTCATCAGGCCATCAGCAGCAGCTGTGGTTGATGAGCACACCTGTCGCTCACGAGCTGTACAGAAGTGTGCTGGTGACAGAAACTGGAACTGAAATGTGAGCACTGAGGACAAGAAGAARCCATAGAACATGTTATTTTAGTAAGCCAGAAATATGAACAACACTGAAGATGGATGATAGAGGAATTAGGGAAAATCAAAGAAGCATTTAATATAATCAATATATTACAAAAAGAAACAAGAAGTAAAAGTGTACAGGTTGTTTTAAGTTTTTTTTTTTTTAGAAAAACAAAATTAGAAAAAAGAGAAGATGGATGATAGAAGAATTAGGAAAAATCAAAGAAACATTTAATACAATAAATAAATTACAAAAAGAAACAAAAAGTAAAAGTGTACAGATTATTTTAAGTTTTTTTCTTAGAAAAACAAAATTAGAAAAAAGAATAAATGCAACATAAAATAAAAGTATTTTTATCCACACTCCATATCAGTAGATGGCGNTTTTTTTTTTTTTAGAAAAACTAAGTTAGAAAAAAGAATTAGCAACATCACATAAAAACATTTTGATCCACAGTCCATGTCAGTGGGTGGTGGTAATGCACACTTTCCATTGTTTGCCAACCGCCATAAAACACCACAGAAGAAGAAGAAGCATAAGGATAAGAATAAGAATAAGAATAAGAAGACGAAGACGAAGAAGTACAACAACAACAACAACAACAAGAACAACAACAACAACAACAAGAACAACAACAAGAACAACAACAAGAACAACAACAACAACCGGAACTGAAATCCTCACAGGATAATGGACTCTGGTCTGTCACAGCAGTGTAAAAAAATCTGGTTGCTAGCCTGATTCAGGTTGTAGGAACGTAAAAACGTTCAATCTTTATTCATGTAACAAAGATGGCAACAGCAATCGTTCCCATATTTAAGATGAGATTTTTTGGTAGCTTGAAGCTTTGCTCCCCACTGATTAAGCTTTAAACAACTTTAAGCACTTCCAAAATATGTTGAAAGCTAAGAACCTTGGTGCTTTTCTTGTTGCTAAAGTGTAGGAATCAGCAGCAAATTGTTACCAAAACAAATG